AGCTTTAATTTGTGTTAGACTGCAGAGTTTTCTTCAGTGTAGTTTAAGATAGGCTGAGATAACCTTATTCTCTGTGTAAAGTTAATACAGGTTAAAACCTGAAATTTTAAAGTTCTAAATCAGAGAATAAGAAGTGTTCATTTTCATTTCTTCCTATTAGAAAATAACTGGCATGTCATAGAATTTGATCTGGTATCTGCCAAAGAAAACAACATAACCATTTTTTTTTGGTACTATTTTGATGTTGGTATGACAGTAAAACATTTTCTATATGTTCTAATCATTTTCCAAATTGGAAATATGTTTATGGCTGAATTTAATAATTGTTTAATAACTTAAACCAGAAATTCTTCTATCCAACTGATCCTTGTAAAATGGTGGTCTAGTGATTTTGGGAAAAGGTGCCTGCTGTTTTAAGAGTACAATTTAGTCTTTACAAAATGTGGATTTGTATAGCATGTCAGGCTGCCTCATATTTTATTTTTATTTTAAAAATAGAATCTGACTAGGTTATAGTAGTCTTCATAATATGTGATAAGCAACAGAAGGCTAGATCAAGCCATCAATTTTTAAGCACAAATCTTTCCTACCAGTGGAGAATTGCTTAAAAATTGATGGCACAATCTGGCCACTGAGAACTGGGGATCCTGCAGAAAGTGTTACTTGTACTTCTACTCAGTCTCTATCCTGGTGGTGGCAGGGACCCAGAAACACAAGGCCAGTTTGCTGGAATAGTCTGCTACTTGAATACTTGTTGGGAGACAAAAGGCTTAAGGACTATTTAAAAAAAAATAATTAAAAAAAGGTTAAAAAGCTACCAAACCCTTAGAAAAATTCTAACCCCCAGCTATTTTTGTTTCATTGAAAGAAACTGTATTTCTCTAATGGCATACAAAAGTGAAGGACACAATCATTCTTTAAGCAGCAGGGAGACTTCCAAATGCACAGAAATGAAGGCTGTTTCCTTTATTTGTTCATGTTATGTTGTTGAAGTGTAACTACATTTTACATAAACATTTAGCTGTATTAAGTGCTACTAGACTTTGTAATGACAAATTAGAGAACCAGAGTAGGGCCTCTTCTGTGCCTCAGAGGATGTGCTTGGGCAAATACTTATAACTGTAAACAAAGACAAAAGGCTTGTGCCATGCATCATTATTTTTAATGAAGAAAAATGCGTTTTACTCCCCGGGAAGTCTACAGTAATTGAAAGCAAAGACAATTCAGCTGTTCGTTATTTCTTAAGAGATGGTCAGGGCCACTGCTGGTGGGTGTAGTCCCATGTGAAAATGTTGAAGGACCACGAAAGTTGGAAGGCAGACCTCTGTACTTGCTTATAGTATAGTTATCACACAGCAACCTTATTTTTTCTGATCTGCTCAAAAAAGACAACTGGGGAAGTTGCAGTCAGCCAAACTCCAGGGGAAGCTACAGAAATGAAGAGGTGTGAAGTGTTAACAGTGTCTTCACAGTTATCTGAATGTGTCAGTCACCAAAATGGGTGGGCTGTAAACTTGACAGGTACAGGGGATTAAACTCTTAGCACTCTCCCAGGCTCATGTTCTGTGCAGTGCCTCACTACAACATTAGCTGAGCATGGGAGCTTGACACTTAAATACCTTGTTGGAGATGCCAAGAAGAACAAAACCTGTTGGGTTTCTTGGTGTGGTTTGCTCTCCATCACATTGTAGTCTTACACTGGCTCTTGTTGAATTAGAAGACACAACAGTAGCAACTGTGGAGTATTTGGAGTTCAGAATAACTCCAGCTGTCCCAGTCACAGGGATGGATAGGCGTGAGGGGCACCTGAGCTGCTGGGGCTCTTGGGCATGTTATTTCACCCCTGCCAGCTTCCCTCTGTCCAACTCTAAAGGTGCTAATTGGGAAAAAGCCTGGAATAAATGTGCCTGGCAGAAGTGATGGGGAGGAGGAAACTTACTGCCTTCCCTGGGAGGCAGTGTCCTCTTGGAGCTCTCTCTAGGAGGGGTACTCCTTTCTCACACCTCTGCAGACTGGAAGGTCATGGGCTGTTTTCCTCAGAGGTCTTGGCCTTTTCCCCTCGGAAATGAATCTCAAATTCAGTGTAACAGCCGTGATACAATTTTCTGGGGATTGCCTTCCCAGGTTATTGTCAGGTTCTGGCTTGACCCCTTTTAACTCAGTCAGCTTGAAAAGGGATATGTAGGGCACCACAGCGAAGCACTTGCACAGCTGCTCTAGCAGCATTTCTGGCACTTAGAGCCACCAGCAAAATCTGCCACTTGAACTGAAACTTTCCATATCTGCTTTTTAGCCTTGGGGCAATTTTTTTTTAATCTATTTATTTATGTTTAAAGGTGAATCATTCAACCATATTTGAGCTACCAGAATGTAAAGAGAATACAGGCAAATAGTCTTCTCTATGAAAATGATTAATAAATTACAAGACACTCTATGAGGAGATGTTGAGTTGACTGGAAAGCTGTAGTTAACTGGTTAGAAGTGGGACGCAGCCTCCCTTGATTCGCACGCATCCTACAGTACGAGAGTCCTTCAACCAGAGCCCCGCTCGTTCCTCACTGCCTGAGGAAGTTCAGCAGCCCAACTGCTTGTGTTTTTAGTCACCTTCCTGAATTCCCTCCAGTGGTCTTTTCTTCTTACTGACAGCTGCAGTGGTGATTGTTCTGTACAGTTGTATCTTGTGTAATGATTGGGGAATTAATAGATCTTACTTTCAGAGTTTGATCCAGCAGGTCATGTTTTGTGACTCCAGGACATTTCTTTAGTATATTGTGTCTAACTTACAGGACATTTTTTCCAATATAGTGTTATTTCTGAGAGATAGAAATCTCTATTTGTGGACTTCATATAAAGCCAGTGATTAATGGACAGAGAAAATTGTATATATTTTGCTTCTCATACTACTTAGAAACATTGACTGTATTTTCTCAGAAAGTGGAGTGATACTACTTTTTCAGTTCTGATTGGCACTGAAATGTAGCATCAAGGGCATTTAGGCTTGAAAGACCTACAATATTTGCAGTGCTGAGATCCAATTTTAACCCCTTACTTTATAAAATATTAGCAGTAGTTGAAGTCCTTGCTGACTCTGCAAAGCCCAGTAGAAAGCCCATGTAGCTGAAGTGAAGGAATGAGTGGGGTTTTGGTTGCAGAGATCCACACAGGTCACTGCTGGATATTGAAGAGGGGAAACTCCCAGTTCACTGCATGGAAGAAGTGGAGCAGAGCACCCTGTGTTTCTTCTTCATGATGAGGCTGTCTCATGCTTCCATTGTAAAATTTCTGGGAATGTCCATTATATTTATAATTATGGATCATCTTTCCAACTTGACTGCTTTCATAGAACAGCCCAGGTTGGAAGAAATATCAAAAGACCATCTGATCCAACCTTTCATGGGAAAGGGAGCCTAGATGAGATATTCTAGCACCTTGTCCAGTGACATCTTGAAAACATCCTGTGGTGGGAGCTCTACTGTATCTCTGGAGAGGTTGCTGCAGTGAATTATTTTACTTCACAAAGAGTCACATGGAGATTATTACAAGGGACAGTGGATACAAGTTGCATCAGGAGAAGTTTCATCTCAACATGAGAAAGAAATTAAATCTTTAGTTATGTGCATTAGCTAACCATATGCTTGTTTAGTTAAAACCTGGCTTAGAAAGCCTGTGTTTATTCCAGTTCTACTCACTAAGGCATTTCTAAGCAACAGATCATTCCATGTAAGCTTTGCAAGCTTGCTGATGTGAGATATCGCATGGGAATTGGATCCCTTCCCTTCAGTGTGCTCTGTCTTTAATCCTGCCCTTATTACTTGAGATGGCATGATTTTTCCACTCCACTACTTTTTTTTCTCAGAGTTAGTTACAAGCTGGGATGATGTAGGGTCCCACATTTTTGTGCGCATGAACCTTGCTCGGATCCTCAGTGGAGGTTGTGAGATGCCTGCAGCAGGCAGGAGTGGAAGTGCAGCATTAAACATCTCTCTCTTCTCAAGAAAGGTTATTATCCCTGTAGAGACACTGTGCATTGCGTCGAGTGGTGTCCAGTATTTAAAGAGAGGTGGGTGGAAGCAGGCAGCAACCCACATCCCTCCCCAGCACAGAGATGTTACCCTTTGTGGTAACATCACAGGAAACAGTGTGCTGTCTTCACAGGACAGCTCCAGGAGTGCCCGTGTCCCTGCAAGCTCATCCTGCTGGTGTTCCCTGGTGGCTGGCATGACCTAGAAAGCAACCAGCTGCAGTGAGTGCCAGGGCTCAGGGCAGGAGCTGGGCAGGCAGAGTGGATCTGCGGGAAGGCAAAGAAGGGCAGCCACCAGCCAAGGAAGCTTGTGCCTCTCCTGCCCACCTTCGCCTGCAGGAAAGGGGTGTTGGTTAAGTCATACCAAGAGTTAGTGGTTGCTGAAGTGTTTCAGAAATGAAAGTGTGTGGTGGTTTTATACCTCCTGGCTTCAGCTCAGCACTTATGAGGTTGTTCCCCCGGCTGTCACTTCTTTTGGAAAAGGCATTAAAAAACCTGAGGACAATCTTTCTACTCTTTCAGTTCAAACAATGTAAGGTTTTCACACTCTGAAGAATTATTCTTGTTTCTTTAGTCACTGTCTGATGTAAATAGTGTTATTTTGGATGAAGGAAGGTTCATGCACTTTCTGTGTCTATTTATGCTTTCTGCATACTACTTCCCGGACTTATGTGTGGTATTTTAAGCTTTATTACTTCCCAGTGTTGGTATGTCTGTGCTGCCTCACTGAATTCAGCTGATGCCTGTTGGCTTCATTCCATGTTTCCAAAAATACAAACTTCAGAACAACAAGATTCAACAAAAGAAGTGTCAAAAGTAAATAGTGGCAGTATGCTTAGATATGCTGTGCTACAAACAACAGTGAACACTAAATGTACAGCACTTTTCAGCTACCCTGCCTCATCATATGTTGGAGCTCTGTCTGCTTGAGTGCTTTCTAACTTGTTCTTTCTGTTTCTTCATGCTTCCCGGGATTCAGAGAGAGGTAAATTATTTTCATTTTTCCATTTTCGTGTTTATCCTTCCAGCATGCACCAAACAATGTTGTATTGGTTTACTTGTATCAGTGAACAGAAGTTCAGCTTCAGTGAGTAAATTCCTGTCTCTGTGTTGCCTTTTCACCTTACTATTTAACAGAATTGTCAAGTTAGTTGTTTTGTTTTTTCCAGGTCCCAAATCCTCTAATAGTGGGACAGTTTAAAATCATGTGTTGCAGGGGTTCTAATATTTGCTTCTAGTGTTTGAGATTAAAATTTAGATTATGTTGCTCTCCTGAATCTGAAATGCAAGACAGTAGTATTAAAGTTCCACCTTTTATTTAAATTTGAAAAAAACATGATACTAAAGCAGGGGATTTAAGAGCTAAGTTTAGCAAGCATTGGAAACATCAATATTTATTTCCTATTTTTAGTATTTGTTTTGGGTCCATCTGGGTTGCTTGCTTGTCTTTCAAGTTTGAAGAAAAGTTTGTTTGATTTGTTTGGATGTACAAAGGGGTCATTTGGAATTCTCTACAATGCTTCCCGTTTCATGGGAGAGCAGACAGTAAGGCATTGTAGTCAGGTGCTTTGCAGCACAAGGGCTGCAGCCACTCCAAAGGCTCTTAGCAATAGAATTGCATCCCTTAGATGAGATTTGGGGTTTGTTTGCTCTTCTAAATTGCAAAAACTTCAAAGCGGGACTGGGTGGAAGGAATATGGTTTAGAGATGTGGACCATTCCTCATGTTTGCTTTGTGGAATATAATGAGAACAGTTTCCAGGCTTGACTGTTTTTTAATCAATTCTTTAGGCCGTGTTGGCCTGGGGAAATGTTTGAACTTTCTTGGTTATGGCTTTGCAATCTAATGCAGGTTTCATGAATGTAGGAAGAGATGATCCTCCCAGCCTAACACTGGCAAAAGTGTGCTGCAAGCAGATTCGTGGGTAGTGTCTGTGCACAACTGCTGTGTTCTCTGTCTGAATAATAAAGAGGAAGCATTGCTTATAAAACAAATCACACTGGAGAGATTAACTATTCTGGTGTAGTCCGCTGTCTTATTCAGTTAAATCTTTAATAGTGCTTTGAACATCTCAACTTGATGTATTTCTTTATTAAATCTTTAGATATTCCTTATAAACAAAAGTCCACGCCTTCTAATTAGATCTGGAAGACAGAAGTATTGTCAAAAATATTCAGAGGTTCATAGGCATAATAGCACATTCATTTACTTAAAGGAAATTCAGGATTCATCAGAAATGCTAGACTGGCCATCCTGAGGAGTTAAACCACCACTTTACAGTGCTGCACAGGAGAAGCAGCAACTCTAATGACCTTGACAAACTTCCTCATTTGTGTGCGTTTTCCTTGAAAACTGCTGCACAGGGTAAGAAGGCAGGCCCCTGCCTGTGCACATTTCAGAAATTAAGCAATTAAGGAAGAAAAACCCCACCATGAAAACTTGATGTTGAGCAAGTCAGTGGTCAGTGAATTTCATATGATCTGTCACAGAAGTTCTGTCTTTTGTTAAATCCATTTATAAAACAAGCAGAGGTCTAAGCTACTGATTGCCTTTTCAGCTTGCCTTGTCTGTCTAGCAGTTGGTGAGCAGCAGTAAGCCCCACCTGATCCCCAAGCACCAGCAGGATGTATAGCTGAGCCCCCTTGGGCTGCTAGTCCTACAGGAGAGCAGTTTCCAGGGCACCACTTTGGTGGTGACCTCAGCCCATATGATGAACTGTCCTCCTTGCCACAATGGTTGTACTTTGGCCATGTGATCATGAGGTGAGGATGGGAATAAGGACCAGCATGGAACACACGTCTTAGCGGTACAATCTGTACTCTTGTCACTGTGCTAGCAGAGCTCATGGATCTGGACAACTCAGATACAGAATTGCACTTTGACATGACTCTTGTCGATGCAAATCTGTGACCCTTTGCAGGAATGGGATATAGACCTTGGTAGTAGAAAGGGAAATGCTTTGTAATCTCTCAGAGCCACCTTTCTGGCTTGCAAGGCAGTGGTGGAAAGGCTGACTGGATTCCTGCCCCCCCTGCACAGGAGGAGGTAGTGAGCAGTGCTGAGACTGGCAACCGCGTCTGGGGGACCGGCTTCCGCAGCCGCATGAGGATCAGGCCACAGGAAGGAAACTGGAGTGAAAGTCATGCAAATGCTTTGAGGCTTGGAAATGCTGGGCTCTGAAGGGCTGAGCTGGGTATCAGACGTATCAGCTCTGAGAGGGCTTTAACAAATTTTGGAAGCATGCAGAACCGTGGCAATGATAAGACATCAAAGAAAAACCGGCAGCTGTGAGTTTTAGGGCCGCCAGATTAAAGCCTCCGAGTATCACACAAAGTAGCCGTAGCTCCTCCTTGAGAGTTAGTAAGTGACATTATCAAGGAATGAAGCAAACAGCCTTTCAGCAGGGGATAATTTGCCCTACAAACTGTATGCTTGAATTAGAAAAACAAGCTACACTCTGTCAATGCCAGGCCATTTGAGGAGAATTTAATAAATGCAGAACTGATGTTTTGCTGCAAGGAAATCCATTTTCCAATTGTGTAAGAACTGAAATAAGAAGTCTCCCAAAAATCTCTGCTTGGGGAGGGCATTTTCACTTGTTGAATTAAAAATTAGTGTCTAGGGTAATGTAGTGGTGGCCCAGTGTGCCATTCTGAGTTGTAGCTGGGGAGAAACCAAAGAGGTGTAGGAGCTCTGTGAGATGGAGCCTCTGGAGTGAAGGAAAATTGCAGGGCTTTCCTGTGTGTCTAGGATTACCAGCAACTGTCAGAAACATAGGGAAACTTTCTTCTCCCCCACATCTCTTCCAGCTCTCATCACTGAGAAGAGTACGTGTGGTTAAATGCACCATGACTGTCTACGAGAAATGGGAAGGAGAAGACTCTTGGGAGTAGTTATTTTTCTTTCTCCTCATCCTGAACTTGATTCCAAAGTAGTTGGTGTATAGTAACCTGGAGAAGGGGCTGTGGGTTTCCTTTGGAAGATGTGGAAGGGCAGAAGTGGTTTCACTCAGTGTCTGTCTGGTATCTGGTAGGTGAAATGGAAGTTGAGAAGTCCTCAGTAAATCTTGTACAAACAGATTTTGCAGCTTTTGTGAGTGCTGCTTGTTTCATCTAGTTATGGTTTCTTGCCTTTGGATTTTTCTCCCTAACTTCGCAAGTTCCTTGATGTGACCCTAATAAAAAGACAAGTGCACTGAACAGAGTCACAGATTTCATCTCAGCTATAAATCATTCTCCTTTCTCCTATGTGAAAGAGCAGTCTGGATAAAAAATCTGAAATGTTAATCCAGGGGATCTGTAATTTCTGTCATACATACTACTGCAAAGTTTCTTGCACCTTGTCTTCTCTGCCATTTGCGATACTAGAATATTTGTGTGTCATGGAAAAACACCATCCAAGCATGGTGTTGATGGCATTATATTTATCTACTTTTCTCATGAGTCTCCTCTCACTTCTCTTGCTTTTTCTCCTTCTCTACTGATTTACTCTGCTTCCATGGGTGCTCATGTCTTGACAGTGAATGTCAGCCTCCTGCCAGGTGCCTCGGACCCGCTCTGCTGTAGTGGTGGCTGCTCCCTCTTTTTTCTTCCCACTTTCACAAGTCTCTGGTCAGCTGTTTGCAGGAAAGCAAAGTGAAGCCTGAAGGTTATGGACTCAGGAAATGGTTTCCCCAATGTCATGGTTTGAGAGCCTCAAAAATTCAATTCCCTAGTCCAAACCCCCTCCCACATCTCAACCCAATGTGAGATGGGTTTTCCAGACACCACGCAAGACTCAGAATGGGGGAAAGGGAATATATTACAACAACTGTACAAATAAATACTATAATACATTATATACAATCTTAGCTATCTCTACCATGACATAGGTATTTACAATGGATCAAATCTCTTCTCCCCTCCGAATAAAAGTCCAGGAGGGAAGAAGGAAAAGATCCCTTTTCACTCTCAGAGCAGCAATGTCTCTAAGGCAGCAGGTTCTCTTCTTCTCATGCAGCAGCTGTAGCTGGATCTCTGCCAGCACACACGAGGGGGTATCCAAGCCCCTCGGCCACTCGTCTTCAAGCGAGGGTCTTCTCTTCCGTGGACTGCGTTCACCCAGACAACGGTTGTGTCACCACGGTCATACCACGAAGCACGGGGGTCTTCGTGACGGTCTGTATCTTCAGGGGAAAAACAGCCCCCTTTGCAGAGCTCTGTGCTCTGTCTCAAGCAGCGGGAGGGCCAAGGTCACCCTCTCCGCATTCCTTCTCTGAGCTTTTTAGCTCCTCTCTGCAGTGCTGCTGCAGTTTTAGGACTTCCATTCAGTAGGAGTCCATCCTTTCCACTTAGGAAAGGTCACAAAAGGAGTTTGGGGTTTTTGGTTCAGTTTCTTACCCCAACTCTGTCTCTGTAGAGCCTAATTCTCTCTGTCTGCTGCTGGCTCTCTCTCGGCTCTCTCAGACAACTCTGTGTCTTCCTTGGCTGCATGTTTGTTGCTGCTTCTTCAGTTATCTCTTGGCTCTTAGCCACAATCTCTGGACGCTGCTTCTGCTGCTGCTCTGTCTCTGCTCCCTCACGGTGGAGAAAACTTCTTTAGCTTTCAGCCACAGGTACTTAGCCCAGCCTTACGCTGTTCCAAATCCCTGTAGCCCCCAGCCGGGGCTGGGGGGGGGGCAGAGGCCCCAAGGGGCTCCAAGCCCCTTCCTCGTGGCTCTACAACATGGCTACTTCTTCTACAACAACTACAACTAACCTTCTCTTCTGTTCTGCTTGTGATATGTTTATATTTTGCAGAAGTACTCATTGGGTAAAACCTCAAAACTTCAAGGGTCACCACCCCCTGGGGTTTTACCATTTTATAACTTCAGGGGGAAAACTGTTTCCCCCCACCACACCCACAGCATGGCGGTGTGTGCTCTGTGACCCTGCAATCACAGGAGTCTGTACACCAGTACAGAGAAATCTGTCATCTTCTGTGGGCTACTCTGGATGAATGTCTATC